CAACTGTCCTGTAGCTGAATCAAAGAAGTGTTTCCAACGCGGAGTAGTATATGAAATCACATGCGCAAAATGTGGATCCACATACATCGGCAGTACCATCAGACATTTACACGACAGGATTAAAGAACATCTCACAATCACAGAATCGTCGGTCTTTTCACACTTGAACACCTGCTCGAAAACCAAAGAAATCAAAATTAGAGTAATCGCACGCGACAGGGATCCCGCCAACTTACGCCTCTTGGAAGCCTTATATATAAAATCTTTAACGCCCACCATCAATTCACGCGACGAACACAAAGAAGTACAAGATTTGTTATTCTAATTGATTATGTTCCCTTTTGTTCGCCCGTTGCCCTTTGTTTGCCCTTTGTCTATCCATCTATACGCTTGACCGCTTGGCCTTATATTTTACGTGTTTATTCTATCTCGCTCATTCCCTGATGATGCTGTAGACAGCGAAAGCTCGGAATCATAGTTTTGTTGTAAACTCGATCTACACACTTAGCGGCTTCGGCTACATTTTGTATTTTCCACATCACTCAACTATGCTGCTAAAGGATAACTTTCAACGTTTATGTCCAGCAGTGATTTTACAAATATCTATTCCTAACTATTGTTAATAGTATGTGTTTAAACTTTGCATGTTGTTTCAGATAGCAGTACATCATTTTCCGCAWCACATTTTGCTTTATTTTGGAGAAAAGGTATCCCATAATCCTCTGGTTTCTCTTCAGCCTCCACTGTCGTCTGGTAAAGAGGTCGCAAAGCTGTCTCCGGTAACCATAGAGACGAAATCCCGCAAGCAATGGCACAGGCTCCAAATATGGTCATAGGAAGTATGATGCTAGAACCAGGCAATTGAGCCTTAGGAATAAGGACGTGAAGTTAATGTTTTGAATGTTAAACATTAAATGCCCAGTTCGCACCATTATGCTTTGCACGCCTCTGTTATTGTTATGATTTACACCAAAATACTTATACTATACAAATTCCAGATGCATGGTTGAAAATTCTTATATTAGCATTTAAAGTGCTTAGAAACGTGAGATGGTCAAAGATTCAAAGCACACAGTACAATTTATAGAACTTCGGTAAACTGAAAATGACCGCACCCCGGCCCTTGCGCCCCCAAAAGCATAATGCATGGTGCACACTGGGTCTTTAAAATAGTGCTAAAAGGTGATAACTATTATATTGATGATATATAAAAAAACACTCGCTCTTACCAACAATAGTAAGAATGGTGCAGCTATCCCACCAATACGAGCAGCAGTCGAACCCACTCCTTGTGCGGTATTTCTATAACAGGAAAAGATGAGACCTGATCAAGGACTGATTTCGGTATTTGTTCCAATCTTTAGAGCTATCACTTCATTTATAGAAAATCTTTTCAAAGATAATTAACAGACGTCTACAGTTAAATTTCCTATGATGAAGATTCTTTTGCCGCAGCGTACCAGATAGCCTTAAACAACTACTGCGGATATGAGAACCAACTTACTTTTCACCTCCTACTCTTACTAACACTCAACCTTCAAACCACGCGAAACTGACAAAAAAAGATATAATTTGTTATAATCCGTTTTTTAGCAGAAGTGTAGCCACTAATATTGGACAAACATTACAAACTACTCGACAACGAATTTCTGAAAAACCATGTTTTACACTAGATTTCCAACCGCAACCCGCAACACAGTAAAAAATRRTCACGCTCTAAGAGCATGAAGTCGGACTAGCTAGTAGAGCATAAAATGATAGAGAAATGGTAACATCATTGTCATAAAAATRTAGATGACTGTATAAATTGTTTGTRGGCATGAGGAAAAACCTTGGTTTTTGTTGTAGCTTGCAAGTCGCAAATTTTGGATTAGGCTAAAATTGGCCATGTGATATTCCCAAACATATAAGAGAGATAGGGAGAAAGGTAGAAAATGTGTCCAACTCATTATATTATTTGCATATGTTATCGTACAAGTCATTTTTCAATTTTAGTCTTTATGACTCATACACGCGATAAGCAAATACGACCTTACATATTTTTTAGGCGTCGAGTCTCATTCATGTGGACAAACCGGTTTGCGAAGGTTCAAAATATTACCTCAAGATGGTAGGAAACAGTTCTGACGATATGAGGTACACGCTAGACCAACACTGGAAAGTCACTAACTGCCCAGCTATAGCTAGATAAGTGGTCGAGGTTGCATATCCTGTAACATAGAAAATATGTCCATAGCCATGTCAAGATTGAGCTTCTTTGATGACGGGGATAACAATATAATTGATAAATCATAGCAAACCTTCAGGAATAGCCAAGATCATCAGAAGTAATACACCAGTCGAAACCATCTGTACGCACAGGGTTAGACGACGCCCCAAACTTAAACACAAACAAAAAATCATAAACAGTAAAGACTTGAATGTAGCTAGATAGGCTTCATCATGAAGAATTAAGAGCTTTTTGTAAGTCGACAAGACATTGATGTATCGGTTTATCCGAAAGTTTGCTTGGTAATTAACAAAATCCTTTTGTCGAGTACAGACCTCTAAAATGTTTTTTTAGTATAGATCTTGTTGTCTTTAATTTACGTTTTTAAATAGAGATATTCTAAGCCTTGACTTTGCTATTCTGCTKGGTGTCGGAACAAGCTTTTTGAAGCTCTGTCGCAGACGGACTTAACCATCGTTTGTCCGGTTGTGGCGCAATAAGATCATAATCGTACATTCACTCGGAAACCGAAGTCTTTTGCAAAAAGAAAAACGTCCATTTACTCTGGAAAATGACTAGTATAGAATTCTAACAATTGGTTACCGTTTCATTGAATACCACGTGGGCAAGACCAAAACACAAGAAACTGCTGCATATACCAGCACGATGACGTATATGCTGCCGTGAAGCTGAGACGCATAGATCTTAATTGCAAAATAGACAAAGGAAGTGGTAAACCTACATTAGAGAACAAAAACAAAATTCATTTTTAGTAATTCATTTTATGAAGTGATGAAAGAATATCATCCTAAAATGAAATGAATGTTTTAGGTTTCGTTCTTGTTATCATGGAAGACACATTTGTAGGTGGAGAAACAAAGACAGCAACAACTCCTAAATGATTTTAAGGCACGAGCAATATGTCTTAAATGTGATTATTTGGTCTAGATCAAATCTACAGAGAGAATTATCGCTCATGATTGAACCTCAGGATTCAATACTAGGCCGTCTTCTTGTTGTAGTATATTTGGCTTCCATGTTTGGCAGATGTTTTCAATTCTTTTTAAGAACGATATTCTTACCATGCGAAAGAAGTGATAATTGTCCATTTTTGTTTTCTCAGCTTTGGAGTACGGACAAGATCTATAAATTAATGGTGTATATTGTTTTGCTTTCAAACTGTGCTGAGTTTGATCTTACCATGCGAAAGAAGTGATAATCGTCCATTTTCTCAACTTTGGCGTACGAACAAGATCTAATGGTGTGTATCTTTTTGCTTTCAAACTGTGCTGAATTTGATCATTGTGAATAGACTTAAGCAAGCTCATCACCTCCTCAGGATCACAGGTTTTGTTRTCTYTTCCACCGTACTTCATGATGATCTSGCAAGCTTGTTTTACTTTGCCTTTAACAACAAGCCAGCGAGGGGACTCTGGTATAGCCCTGGGTAATGATAATAAAACTATCAGCCTGATTATTAATGCAAAGAGTCATTTTACTGAAGTTAAAAGTGATGATTCTTAATTAAAAAATAATTCCTAGCGTGAACTTTTTCTGTGAATACTGATTTGGACGTAAAAATGGAATGAGCAAATGCCTGATCAAGTGATAATTTTTGTATCCATTTCAGTAGTGTGTTCAGTATCAATTACCTCAGACAACGTCGCCATTTGAAGCAGCTTTACAAACTTATCGAAAAATGAAACTTACCACCAAAAGAAGTATAACRAGAAGGGAGGAAGACAGGACACCCAAACAAACGTCCTCCAATCTCTTATGAAGTAGGCAATAAGGATTGAGGCAAAATCTCCAAGACACCAATAAAATATGTTGATATTCCCCATTCTAGCTCTGTATCCTGGTCCAATCATCTCCATTATTAGGATGTACGTTGATAATGTGGCACTGATCATGAATGCTCCGTTTGCAAAACGAAGAAAAGCGAAAAGTGCAATGGATGACTTTACGAATGCATGCACAATTCCAATGATAGCCTGAAAATGTCAACTATATATCATTAGCGAAGCTTGCAGCAATAGTATACTCTGTAGTTTTGGTTGATCATGTAAACGAACTGTAAGCCAGGTTCCGGGGAAATAAAAGAATACGTTAAGATTATCAATTTTTTCCCCGCAGACACGTCTTCTATCCAGTGTTAAATTTCAAATGTCCGACAATAATTAAAAAAACACTAATTCGCAAAGCGGCATCTCTTTTTCTATTGCTTATGTTTTAAGTATTTTAGAAAAATCTAAAAGAAACACTCTATCAACTTTTGAAATTACTATTGAACAGAAACAAACAAGATCTGTTTACCATTGATCCAAGTGCTCCAAAAATGACTGTTTTACGACCAAAAGCGTCAGATAAAATACCAGACAGGAACGACCCTACCAACATGCCAACAAAGAAGAATGCTTGGATAATAGCTGCCAAATACGAGCGGTCACAAATCAGATTCCACTGAAAATTAAAGGTACAGGAAAATGCATCAACTTTCTTTAATTGATGAGTCACAAAGATTGAACCTGGTATCGGGGCATTAAAACGCGTGAGACAATTTTTTACCTATCACGACTCTGATATCGATATTCAATTCACTAATACAACCCCATTTCGACTATTGTTGTGTTGTATGGGGCAATTGCGGTAAAACACTTACTACCAAATTGCAAAAGCTCCAAAGTCGGGCTGCAAGGGTCTTGACATTTTCGAGCTATGATTCTAATGCTGACTGCCTCATCGAACAGCTCGACTGGAAAAAAACTTGCAGACCAACGCAAATTTCATACAGGCGTGATGGTCTTTAAATCTATTAATGGACTGGCCCCTGCATATTTGGGCTCTTTGTTCAATAAACGGATACAAACTYACAATCTAAGAGACTCTGAGAACAAACTTAACTAAACTTGCTGTTCCAAAGCCAAGCACAAACTTTCTCAAGGACAGTTTCAGTTATAAAGGTGCGACACTTTTGAACAGCCTCCCTGTTGGATTGCGGCGAGCGGAAACGCTGCAAGATTTTAAAAACGGATTGTCGCAGAAGCAGCACGGCTCTCTTGTAAAACAGACAAATTTGTTTTTAGTTTTTATTGTAATTAATAATTAATGTATATTATAGTTAGTATAGTTAGTATTTTTAATATTTAATAATAAGTCCTGAATGAGACTAGCGTGGTTAAATAAAGTTCTTCTTCTTCGAGTAAAATGCCAATAACTAACCAAGACAACAGCTACAGCTCTGAAACTTTCGGACTTTTCCTAAAATTTATCTGGGCAGATTTTGATTTTGTTGAAAACGTCATCCATGTCGCCATGGCAACCAGTTTTTGACACATGTTTTCAAAAATGAAAAATGTGCTTAATTTTTCTTCTTATCTATTGTTTTATTATGCATCTTTTACTTATTTAAGCTTGCTCCCATTGCTGACTCTACAATACCATAATACTTTTTTGACAACAGAAACTTTKGGGGGAGGGGTGGGTAATTTTCAGTCATTTTTTCACATGGGAGAAAATTTCATTAAAATCATCAGTAGCACTTCAAAACTCACTTTTTTATTCATAAAATGTTAGTTTGAGAAGTATTTCAGACATTTTGAGCTGTTTGCCTCAATCCTTAGTTTTTTAAAGGCATTTTAAAAATCCAAGATTGCAGATCCTATATTCTTTTTAAAATTGCTTGTTTTAAATTGTTAAATTTCAAAACGTTTACCATAATATTACGATGCAGTGGCGTCTAGGGGTCCTCCCCCAGGAAATTTTATATAAATTTTATATTTTATATAATAACTCTTGGAAATGCGATTTCCAGCGTTTTGAGGGTCATCGAGAGCACATAAAAGGCATTAAATCCCGAAAAATTTTAATATTTCCTTGCCACTAGTAAGCACGTGCCATGACGTGCGTATATGGCTTTGAAGTCGGCTCCAAACCGGTCACCAGTCCAGAAACACGGGAATACAATTACTACATATGTGGCCGAAGAGTTGAGAAAATTGCTTACAACAGGATTGTTACTACAGTGGAAAACCCTGCATCGACCGTGCATTACTGACAAGAACCAAGCTTATGTGTAAATGAATTTCAAACATTTGATGTTTCAACTATGGTGTTTTCAGAAGTATTCATTTCTATGCAGCTGAGAGTGATATCCCTAGACTAATTTTTATTTATCTGAAAAGCTCATCTCTTGCTTAGTAATCACTTCGACGAATTTCATTGCAAACAAAATACTTGCACGCACAAAAAAATGATCATTTTTTAAGGTACTAATTTGCATATATAACTAGACATTATGTAAACACTTCGATTTCCAGAAAATGTTAATTAAATGTTCTGAAAATCAGCAAAATAAATAAGAAAGAGTTACTTAGAAAGCCACAATCTAAATTTTTAAAGCCGGTTTAAAACACAAACTCAGCAAAAAGTTTGGCTTTTTTTAGTCTTTTCATTTGTCACGCAATGTCCCGAGTATGTGACATTATTTAGCGGTTTATCTTGCAAAAAAAAATGAAATATTTTCAAAAACCAAATACACAGCGATTGTTAGCTAATTCTACCTTATCAATATACAAAATATGAATCTTTTTCGAGCCTTTCCAAAAAAWTTTCAATTTTGTCTGGTTTTTGCGTGAAGCGGCTCTTTGACTCAGACTAAACATACAAATTWAAGAAGATTAAAATAAACTTACCTCAGAGACAACGGTAGTGAACAAAGGATCGAATTCATAAGATGTACAGTTTGTACAACATTTATTGATACCTCCACACGATACATTAGGAGTTGAGCATTGAAACTTGGGAGTTGCAGTAACAAATCTAAGATGACCAAAAACCAGTCCTTGTCCCGCGAATAGCAAGCATAACCCGTACGCAAACTTCTTCTGATAGCTACCGAATGCATTTACATGCTTGAAAATGTCGTTGTACTGGGAAAATGTTTCAAACTTTCTTTCCTTTTCCATCGCGGATCGACTTTTTAGACGCTTTTAGCTAACGGAACAGCTTCTCCACATCGTTGCCAAGATAAGCACGCTTTCTAGAACATTAGGTAWGAATAACTCCGCCCGTGACACGTCGGCGAAAAGATCACATTCCAATCTAACTTCGATGTCCCGATGGGATATTTATGCTTTAATTGTGCAGCACATACTTTGGATTAAGACAATAATAATCTTGATTGGAACAGTATAGTAGAGGCACATGTCCCAGCTTACAGAATACTCATGTAAAAAATATAAATGTACGCCTGGAAAATAATGTTCTATTATGTTGTGTGACTCGCAGATCAACTTGAACTTTTGAGGCTGGATGCGTTTCAACGTGCTCAGTCAAAAAGGTTAAAGAGAAATATCAAATTTCGATAAGTAGATTTCAAATACAGCTATAAATGCGATGAATTTTATATCAGTGTATGTAATAGTAATAATAATTATTATTAAAGTTTATTTTTATACATACTTTCCTATAAGTCCAAATACTCTGAACTATGATAAGAAATTAACTATATACTAATATATCATGTGTCGGTATATGTCGGTGTCGCTGATGATTATTTCATTATTTAGCATCTCCAAAATAAATGGACGCTCTTTATAGCAAAAATTCGTATGGAAACAAAGCGATGTGTAATCGGAATAACAGAAAAATAGGTTATTTTTTCTGCTCTTCGTACGTCTTCAAATAGGACGTAAGTATTGAACTTCAGTTGTCTTGATCGGAATAGGGGTGTACTTTCGATATTCTCCATCTTTCGATATTTATGTAGTAAACTGTAAAGTCACAAGAGAACCAAATGTCTTCACGCTCTGGGCCTTTAATAAAATTATCACAACTTCATGTGAATCAGATCGCATATAGGAGGAATTCCTTCATACAGTTTTATGACCAGAATTCCTGTGTTTGCTGAAACTGAAACTGAAACTGAAACTGTTTTATTGCTCTTTTTTGCTTTTAACTTGACAGAAAAAAGGTGCTTGTAATAAAAAGATAAATAGGTATAGAGAATATGCAAATTTATGTAAAAGAACGAGAGCCAGAGGGCTAAATTAACTAATAAGTTTTCTAGTTAGCCCCCTGTTATTTAGTGTTACATTGGTTGTTACAGGCAAGGAGAAAAGCAATAAAACATAAGGAAAAAAGAATATACAATTAATTACTTACATAATAGTTACTTACAATAATAGTTACTTACAAAAGCTACTTACATAATAGTATAAAATAAAGAACGAACAAGGTAGACAATAGTTTGAAATGATATGGTAAGTTAAGGAGACAATATGAGATTAATTTAGGGAGATTAAAGAGGAATATATAATGTTAAATATATATAGTAATTTTTGTTGTAGAAATGAAGCGAAACAGTTATAGGTACTGAGTGGACAATAAGAATTGATTGTGAAGAGTTCCCGGGGGGGGGGGGGGGGGGGTACTCGGTACTCGACTCCGTTTTGGATAGGTACGTGCCGCCAGCGGTCTAAAACCCTTACCCTGTTTAAGACACTAGAAAGTAAAAATACATACCCTGTTTAAGACAAATCGGAAAAATAAGGAATCGCTATCTACGCCGCAACCATCAAAACTGCAATTATTTTGACATCCATCAAAGACAAGAAGTAGTTTTTGATAACACGTTAATCCTGCTACAGTGAAACGGTATTTCTTATGAAAATATTACCCTGTCCAAGACACAGAAAAAATTATATCGGTATTTTATCTTAATTGAAGGGGCGGATGCGAAAGCGGCCTAAGTGACGATTTAGGGTATTTTCGAAATTTTCGAAAAAYTAMAAAAACATCATTCCAATCGCTYATTTTAAGTCTAAATAACCTTATTTAGTACTTATTTCTCCTTATTTCTTTCCAAAAAGAGCAAAAAAGGACCCATAGTTTGTTTGCTTTACAAACTCAGGTTTTAGAGCCTAACGCTTAGCTAACGTTAACCCTACCCTACCCTAAACCCTAACTATTCTAACCCTAACCCTAAATCAAGCAACCCTAGCCCCATGTCTTAGGCTATAGGAACCCTAACTCTTGCATAAGGCTGGAACTAATAACCCTATGCTAAAGTTTGGGGGAGGGGAGGGTACAGTCTGTAACTAAATGTCGACTTTTTTCCGCTTTTTAAAAGGAAATCACGAGAAATAACTAGCAAACATGATTATTTAGACCAGAAACAAATGATTGAAGCGATTTTTTGTCAATTTTTCGAAAATTTCAAAAATACCCTAAATCGTCACTTAAGTCGTTTTCGCATCCGCCCCTTCATGTCTTGTAGGTCAATCAGTTAATCAGTCATTTTTCCGTCAAAACCGCACAGTTAGCCAGACAACAAAATCACACAGTTAGCCAAACACTTTTTCGTCGAAATACATAAGTTAAACAACTATTTTTTCGTCTAAGTTGAACTGTTAGCTAAGCACTTTGCCGTCTAAATTGACCAAAAACCAGACACCTTTTTGTCTAAGTCGGACAGTTGGTCAGACAAGTCATCTTATTAAGTCCGTTAGGTAGACACTTTAACGTCTGAGTCCATTAGGAAATCGTCGTTTAAGTCAAAGAGTCAACTTTGCCGTCTAAGTCATTCAGGCGGCCATGACAATTTGTAGACCCTGTTTAAGACAATTTGGGTGAAATGTATACCCTGTTTAAGACAGCATGCAAAGCCAAAAACCATACCCTGGCCAGTGGCACGTCCCTGTATAGCAAATAYATGGGAGTATATAGGCCCAACATTAAACGTAACAAGTAAATAGAAATTTGCGATTGATTTTTGACCATTTAAAGTTTAATTTGAAGCGATTTTGGTCTTTGCATGAGGAGTACGTTTTGTCTAGAGACGGCAGAAACCATGTCATGTTGRCATTCAGTTGTCATGTTGATTTCGTGTCAACCCTCGAGTCTTTGATAAGCTCTACATTTTTCCAATTTAATTTGCCATGAATAATAGGTTATGGAATTTCACTATCGATTTTTTTGTGTTGAAGGTCAGGGTTTTGTTGTTCTATTCATGTTTATTTTGTCCTATAGATATTTGTTTTTCAATTGTTATTATTTTCAAAGATGTTTTTCTTTTTAAAATGGGAAGTGACCCTTTGTCTGTCTTGTCACAAGGTAAGTCAAATTTATGTTTTCACTAATTTTTTCACTCAAATTGTCATATTTACATAATGATTATAGATATTGCTAAATCAGCTAGTCAAATTCTAAGATGATTAGTGTCATCATAACACAGGAAACCCAACTATCTCGGAAACTTCAGAAAGACTCGACGTGGCCTGTTCTTCTAAATTACCCTTTTYGCACGATTTTTTCTTGGAAAGGGTTTTTGAGCTGCATTGTTACGTTGACAATCTCACAAGCCAATGTGGCGCCCTTCGTTCWTTATAAATCAATTTTGCTCCTGTGAAATGTTTTTTAAGGTCAAAAGAGCTTATATAACGTTTTTATGGTCGACGAAGGCTTTATTTTCTTAGTTAAAGAATTCCTTGATGGCAACCAGTTGTGACTTACAGCTGGCTGGAAAATAAGAACAGATATATTTCTCCCAGGAACCMGTCAGCTCTTTCTAAAAGCTACGAAGGTATGTGAAGAATAACGTGAATGAATCGGCAAAAAAGCGAGTTAATCACATAGACGACTTTCAAGGCGAAAGCCTGGTGCCTTAAGTCTCATTCAAAAACAAATAATATCGCAACAGCAAAAATAACAACAAAACATAAAAATAACATCAACTAAAACAACAACAAAAACAACTTTATATTCACATTCGTTACAGTTTTACAGCAAAAGATTGTTTGATTGTTTTCTTTTTTTTTTCTTTCTATATTTCTTCTATTAGTTTTTTTTTTCTTCTTCTTATCTGATTCCTGTGTGTTTTCTTGTCTTTTACAAGACTTTACAAATTSCTGTTGTTTTTTATTTGTATCTATTGATTTTTTGTGGGTCTAATGTATAGTATCGCTTTGGATTAAGCCAGTCCTCAACCGCGCACAATAATCAATTTATTCCACGTGACTTGCCATGGCTCTCGCGATAAGTCGGTCTGTCATTGGAGCGTTTTCTTTCAAGGCTTTGCGTTCTGATAATAGCCTCCTAAACATTGCACAAAACCACACCGAGATCAGTATAAAAGAAGCAATTTAAACTAAGGCAGATCTTGAAGTTTGCTTAAAATACTTTGAAGTATTTTTTTTTACAAATACTACATTTTCGAATTCAAAAGGAAAAACCGCTGATTTTTTTGACAGCAGATTCTCTTGCGCAAAGAACTTACCAAACACAAAGGAAAGCACGATGAAATATCTCTAAATCACAACAGTCTTGAAAATTAGCATTTTTTAGTTGGGAATAACCCCGTATTCCCATACATATCAAAAGACTTGATTGCTATTGTACTTGCAACATTTTCTGGTGTTTGGCTTTTAATTTCGGTTATGTATTTGCATTGTGAAAGAAACTGTTGTCGGTTGTTCGATATGAATTCGAAAATGTTGTATTACGTACAGAGTAGACTCCTCGCAGCCGTTTTCCGGTGTCGTTTCCTAATCCTCCGTGGAGGGCGACACCCGAAAACGGCTTCGATGAGTCTAATTACAGAGAGCATTTATTTTTAAAAAATMCAAAAGAACGCAGCCTTTATGCAGACAACAATGATCACGTTGTTGGTGTTTGGCATTGCGCCCAGTAAACGTGAAGCTAAATCTCTTTAATTAAAATTAATTATTACACACCTTGCAAGTCGGTGATGATCCTTACGTGATGACGTCATGGCCGTGTTGATGAAAAAGAGGTTAAAGAGGTCTCTCTGAGTGTAAGAATGAAAAGCGAATAAAATCAACGATATTATATGTCATGACAGTAAATAAGAGGTAGAAYAAATCAAAAGCACTGCTGTATGTACAAATATATATTGTCTCTGTGATGATAAAAGTATAACGTTATTTACAACTTAGTTTTCCAAAGATTATTCAACAAACTATGTGCAATTATAAATCCAGCATTCTGATTGGCTACTGCACGAAGGTACATTCATGATAGACCATGGTAGCATCGAATGAAACGAAAATAATGTATAAGGCCTCATGGTCCACTCAAACTCTTGGTCTAGTTGTTAATTAGTCCATACTATAACTGCAATACTGACCTGAGCATTACTACCTCCAATTTGCACAATCCTATAGCGTAGAGGCTTTAAGATTTCAACAGCAACATCGTGTTGATTCTGAAATACATGCAATATTCACATGTCGCAATATTTCTCATATACTTGTTTATACTTCATTAATGTATTAATCAAAATTAGTAATTTCCGATATTTTTGTGCTGAATTTTGATGGATATACAGTGGAACACTCTCGGCGGGTCGATTGCACAAACAATTGGGAGCATAGAAAAAACTATCGCATTCGATAGGGTGGGGTCGGATTGTGGGCAGCATCTATGCATTTTTGCTGACTGCAATCCGGAAGATCCTTCAATGCAAAAATTGTTCACAAATTTCGAGTAATAAAATCGAAAAGTTAAGGCGTTCAAAACTGGATTCTCGTCTACCTCCGCTCCCAAGTTATAACTTATTTGTGTGCATTAGCTGGGAAAAATCTACCTTGTCAACCAACTCAAACGCTTCGCATAACGGTAATCCAACGTTTTGAGTGACGTCACGGTTTACTCCTGAACCTTTCCTGGAAAATAAATTTTCGATTCAGACAGTACAATAGATTACAGATAATCAARAATTTCTTTGATATAAAATTAGTTTTGGTTTTTCCTTAGACTGTGAGATAAAAGGGGAAAATGATAATTAAAAAAAAACATTCTTTATTAAGGTCTTGCTATCATTTGTTCATTACCGAAAAGCATACAGTATAACTAGGCAGTTATTTTATTTTCACAGGCTTGCGTGTTTTTTTATCTTTTGATGGTTCTGGCCTCTACTTTGGAAACATGGACATTTTTTGGCAGTAACTCTATAAGGATACATTTAATTAGAGAACTCATTTCTTTAACCCTATTGAGACTGGGCTTTTTTTTCAATCTGTGACTGGCGTGGGGGCTCATTCGGTCCCCCCTTTAGATCTTCGGAACCAATAGGTCTATGGCCATGAAACTTTCACACAATGKCTTGGTTCGAAAGTTATTAGCATTTTACTCGAGGGAGGTCTCAAAAGCCTCCCTCTATCCCAAGTCTCAATAGGGTTAATTGGTTTATGAATATGGAATCAACATACTCAACAAAGCTTCGTAATGATTCCATCAACTCTTGAGTCTTGTCTTCACGCTTTGATCCAAGAGTACACATTAGCATATGAACATCGTTAAATGCCTGAAATCAGACGACAATTGAAAACTTCCCTATAGGTCAACGTGCATAAAAGGTCTTTTTTATGTCTTCTAAGGAAAGTTAAATGATTATCCTTAAATTTGGCCAAAGAACAATAAGCCTAAATAAGCCATTGTCTGAGCATTCATCGCCTCAAAAACATACGACTATTTCAATTTTTGACTTTTCTTTTCATCAAACCATATTTAAAGATCGTTAAAATTTCCTTACAAAACAATTCCTTTTGTGCATTTTAAAAAGACCTAAAAAGCCTACGAACGTAGAAGAGTACAACTAAAATGAATCTGTAATGGMAAGGAGACAAGTGCTGTTTAGTGCTCTGTTTGACATGACGACGCGTGTCCGGTAAAAGCTGGACTTATGAAAATTCTAATTTCCCATTTGTTATTGAGAAAATCTTATAGATTCTTATAGATTCCTGAAAAAAGAGGGGAATCTCCTTGATAGACAATTTACTTACCGTGATATGATCATGAGCATGGGGTTGCCACATGGTCAGCAGTTCTCCCCATCGATTACCAATAGCAACGCCTGAATMAATAAAAGATCGGCTTACTTTATTTTAATTTGAGGACACGTACTCTAAAGGTGCATGCAATCTTCATAATGATGTCATTCCCATACATGGCAATTAAGTTGAGAAGTCAATCCAAGCCTAAACAATAGCTGATGATTACTGACAACGAAAAGTCAACAATCACGTTTGAAACTTCAAACTACGTAACAATCATCGAGCCAACCAGTAATGACAAACCTTCCATTTGTAGCCGGTATAGAAGCGACGAAGCGTCCACTAAGTCGAGCATGGCCCCAGATTTTACCCGCTGACCTACTTGACTGTCGTAGACATCCACAGCGGCATCATACTCTCCCTGTGATGAATAAAATATTTCTTTGTTTATTATATTACATTAATCGAAAACAATACAAGTGGCAGTAACAATTCGAAAAATAAAAGTACTTAAAGTTTTGCAAAAACAGTATCTCAGTCAACTACTAACCTTTTCTATRTGATACAGAGCCCAATGCCAGTAATTATGGCAAGCAAGCATTGCTCCTTTCTGWGGGATATAATAAAACACCAGCAATTGGTCTATGATTTTAATATCGCATAACAATATTGTTACACTATATAACAATCAATCTGCTGATAATCATATTTTATAAGTTATTGATGGCTAAATATAGTTTGATATTTTTTTTCTAAGTTGCCTTAAATCACCTTAAGTTGCCCAAAATGACTAAAATTAAGGACTCGAGTTGACCTTGAGAGTTTATGAAGTTTTAGATAAACATACACATCCATCATTAWGCATTGTCATAGCACGATCACCTAGCATTATTTAGTATTGCATGTAATGTAGCTGTTTTCCTACCGTCCAGTCATTCATTGTTTTGCTCAAGAAACCAATTCCTTCATCTTGTCGTCCCATCATTTCTAATACATGAGCCTGCGCATGTGTAGACCAGCAGTCACGAGGATTAAGTTCAAGGCCCTATAAGAAATGAGATGAGTTAGTGTCTGATCCGACAACACGTTGCATAATTAATGCCCCATAACCCAAGACAATTGCAATGCAATGTAAGGGCGAATGCATGATTACTCTTTGGACTGAACAAGACCAGGAAAGCTGGCACTGTTTGAAGTGTAATRGTTCCTCGTTGATGCAAAGCAACTGCTTTCCTCACAATGGAGACATGTCCTCTTCAGAAATGGCAGAGTTAGATATTACCAGGTCAAACATTCAAATCAACACAATCACTACGTAGATTATTCTTCGATTTCACTCTACGTCACAGCGGCCATCTTTGAGGAACTTCAACGAAGGATTTTTCATTAGCATCTATTCCATTCCTCCAACATGGCCATCGGTCTTTTATCTTTTGAATGTCATTGGAATGGTCGAACGATCAATAAAATAAATCAGGCCTAATCTTTGTTTAAGAAATAGCTTCTAAGTAACCTTTAGTGCTTGTTTCTCTGCATCTTGGTACATATTTGTTTCTACAAGTCCAAAGGCATACATCCCGTGTAAATAGCTACAAGAAAACAATGTAGAATGACATTATATGACTAGAAACATACAATGCCAAAGGAAAGAAAAAATTAAACAATAAAACTCGTGAGACACGAAAGAATAAAATGCCCGGATACAGGACGGAGACTAATCCTCACCAATATAAAGGTGTGGTCTCTTTCCATCTTGGCATTACACTTGCAACAGAATCTCTCATTTGAGCTTGAAGACCAAAATAGAAGTAGGTATCGTGAGCCATTTTCAGAGCAAACATGTCATTTGGATGATTTGTTAAAATATCCTCCCATATTTGGCATGCTTTGATGGCATTCCTGGTTAAAATGATTGATAATTAATGATTGCAAACAAGACATTGGCCTTGGAATGCCAATAAATGACATTAAGGTGGCGTCGCACGTAATCATGACGACTACCTGTCACTATGCATGTACTAATGCACTAAAGCTTATCATGGTCTGAACCCTAAACGTTTTTCATGCCACTTACAGGGTAGATTTGGCGAAAATACTATAATATCAGTAAGTTAGAATTTAGCTTTTTCTCTTAGACGATCTCTTGGTCTCTCAATGATCTCACTAATAGATCGGTGCCTACGCGGTGCCTACTATCCTGAAGGGAGCTAAGTATTTTAGTTTATYTCAGAACTTAGTAATAATATCCGTATTACTTTTGTAAATATTATTCTAATACTAAATCCGAAAAAAAAGTTTTCAACAAAGTTACTGATTTTTTCATATAAAAGAAAAATTGCATTTACCCATCAGACCACTCCTTAACTGCCTGAGCATGCATTCTCTCTCGGTCGTTGATGTTGCCCTTGGCGACAAGATTAGCTAGCGTATCCATGCCTTCCTTCAGTTTGGGATTGGTATCAACATCGTAAGTAGTAGAAATCAGCTCAAGACCATTACACATGACATGACCCATCACTGTCAAAATATATCATTCAATAAGAGTTGGACGTACTAGTAAAATTTGATGCTGATGGCAAATGTAATCTGGTTTGTCATAAAGATAATGATACATTCYAAATGCTTGGACACTTCTGGCTAGTATAATAGTCCAGTAATTTTAGGACAAAATCTGGTTTAGCCTGCAACAAATTGCAACGTATTTCAAAGGCTTTCATGGAAAAACTGTCCTCTGTTCCTGCGAAAATGCCGAAATATGCCGTTAAACTTGACGCACTTTTGGAGCCTAAAAAGTGTGAAAAAAAATTGATTTTAAAGATGTTCACATGATCAAGTTTTTGGCGATTTTGCCATACTAGTGTATGGATATAGTCAGGAACAATATTATGAAGGACAACCTTCTGTGTCAATTTGTTGCAGGATGAGTTATAATTTTACAGGACTATAATGCMTTAACCTTTAATGTTTATCAGCAAAATAATGTTAATCTACTCACTTGGACATCCCATAATATGTCTACCGSCACTCAAAGGTAGTGAAAATGTCTGCTTATCAATATCAAAATGTTTACTTTATATACCATCAATCARTGATTCATTGATTGGTATCTCTTTAGACATAACAAAAAACGAATAGACAATATTCTTCTTCACGATTCCCTCGTGCGCCATTTTGAAAGGTAGCCTGCCTTTGCATTGAAGCGAGACGACCGTTGAGCGTACGATGATCGAAACCTTCTTTCACACCTACAGACAATTATTCACAGGTATCTATCATTGCACACTCAACGGTTGACTCGCTTTGATGTAAAGGCACGGTTACCTTTCAAGATGGCGCACCTGACCGCGAGACTATTGCCCAAAAAAGTTTGAATCTTATGTCTTACCAAATTCAGGATCTGCTTGGATAAGATCACTCATCGTTTTCTCCAGTCCACCAACACTTGGTTCTTCATACCAACCAGTGTACTGAGAGGAATTGGAAGGAAATTTAAATTTAAAATTTCAATGATTTTTTTAACTATAGCCAAAGTACGTTTACAACTCCATTTTACTCTGAGAGACTAGACAATTAAGGGAAGCTTCATGCAATCTGAGGACTGAAAATTAAATCGAAGACCCTGATCCCTGTTGGTACTACACTACAAGCCTGTACACTAAAGGTTGATTTACACGGTATGATTTGTCGCGCGCGACTTGTAGTGTACGATTTTCCTACTAAAAGTCGTAGGATTTTAAGCAGTGGTTCAAAATCCTACTACAAGTCATAGGTTGCGTACGACTGTTGTAGACAAGTCGTAGGGGCATTTACCCTGCGCGATTCAAGTCGTATACTACAAATCGCATGAGACAATAGTGCCGTGTAAATCAGCCTTCATGTTATTCAGTGCTCAACCTTTGCTCTGGTTTGAGCACAACACACCCCTCCCCCGCCCCCTCCGACACTTCTTTCTTGTATTATTCAAAGTACCAATACCTGTGTGAGAGCAGCATCGTAAAGTTTAACAGCCTCATTACTTGTTGTCGAGAAAAAGAGCCCCTCTTTCTTCCATGCCTACATAGTAGTATGTAAACAAAAASAATTATGTCCCAGTCTTTACTTGGACGTAAGACACATTTAGGGTAATGCAATCATGAATTAAAAATTACATGTCATGCAGCAACCAGCTAGCATTAAGCCCATCACACTCGATATGTTTGTAGACCTTTGTAGTCTACAATATTGGTTTACTTTTCTGGCTGCAGAATTATTAACATTTGCATAACGCATAATACATTAACAGGTTAMAAATAAACGTCAAAAGCAATATTCATTACCATAAAACTGAACTTTAATTGATAAAATCTTTGTAACTCTAGTTTGTTTCGCTTAGAATATGATATTAAATAGTCAAACTCGTATAAATGTTTGCATTGAGTTCCCGATATCAATTTATAGTATAACATAGAACGTCCAGGCCTGCTGCGAGGTGACATGCCAGTTTATGTAAATTGAAGCACGCATGTATGGATAATATAATGAGAAAAGTATTTGTGTTTTTTTCTGATCTCAATTAATACAATGATTTTGAACTTAAATAATTTGGTGAAATATTAGGTGCAAAAGAAGGAGCAAATGCCGAAGATATAATTATAGTAATTTTACTTAGAAAAATACATGTTGGATATTTGTACGATATTACCGTAAACCGAGTTGTTTTTTCTATTCATACGGACATTGAATTATCATGAATTTTTAAGTWATTATGTAAGATATTAAATTAACTATTATTGTTTCATCTAGAGATAAATAACAATTTCTATAAAGCAAGAAATAGCATTGCGTGACTTATTCGTACGTACATATTGTTTTCCTCATTTAACTCTTGCAATTCCATCGAAATASGATCGAGACAAAAGGTTTTAARYGTCGAAATAAATACTTTAAGATTTGRTAAAKCTTTTGAAAGCAAACTCACGCAGTTTAGAGAGTTTGAAAGTTTTTTAGAGAAGATTTCCATACAAATRTGGTCACTCTAAAAAACGTAAATCATCCTTCGGATATTGTAGTGAACACGGTATGTAAAAGTGTTAACTTTATTGCTATTTGGAGCTTACTTACATAAGAAAGTACATCAAATTAAACACTTACATCCAAATCTCTCCATTGCGTGTGCATGTATGACATTATTCCAGCAAAAAGAGCTAAAATGAATGTTACTTGCTACGAAGACTTCAAGATAACATCAGTTGCGTGACCTTTTCGTCACGTGTCGTGTAAGGTGATTAAAATTGTTACACTTCTAGGGGAGGKGTGGGGATTCCAGATGCACGATAAGAAAACTCAAATGCTGTAACAGTGGTCATAGAGCAATTTTATTTTTAAATTAAAATCCGTGAAATAAAAACTAAATAGTTCTTAATAATTAGGTACTATTTTGTACTTAATTAAATATATGATAGCCGCTCAAGTGAATCAACTTATAGTTCAATACATAACAATCAAACCATAGTTTGTAATCAAATTGAGTCATTTATTCTTTATCTAATTTGTATTGTGATAAGCATCAAATATGTTGCGACACTATTTCTTAATGTATTTCCCACAGAAATACAAAAACAGTGCGAAAAGTATCAGTGTTGACAAAAACTAAAAGAAGACGACGACGACGACGACAACGACGACGACGTAGAAGAAAAAAAAAACATTCATAAAAACAGACAAACAAAAATTAGCAGAAAAACTAATGGAAAATAGATAAGAAGAAATARTCTAGATCAGCAAAATGTAACAATAGATGCTTGGAACTCAGTAATTTTTAGGCTTCAGTTATTGAAACATCTAAATGTTTTTCTTTATTGCAATTGAATTTAAACTCTATGACTGCAAGAAATGAGAAAATTGATTTCYCTTTATTTCAAAAAAGTCGTACTTGTCCATTACTCTGACAAATTTATGCATAGCATTGCATTGTATTCTATTGTATTGCGTCATTCTTGTAGAGTCATTTTCTTCAGTCTGTGAAATTGGAATTGTACTTAAATACCTCTCCCTATTAGCTCCCAATAGTTTAACTTGTGACATGCGCCAAACTATATTAGGCAAATTCAGTTTTGATTTTGCCTTTTGGAAGCCTACTACAAAGTAATAGTTACTATTAAACACTGACTAGTAGTAAWTGTTTCAAAGACGGAKGAAATGTTAATCTATTGTTATTTGAATACAAKACAATACTATGCAYAAATTTGTCAAAGTATTGAGCAACCCTGATAAAAGTATAATGCAGATACTACACTAGAATGATGTTACATTCATTGATAGATCATCATCTCTTGTGCTCATTCTCTTCTGTTTCTTCAAAAATGGTATCCCATAATCCTCAGAAGCTTCTTCTGCCTCTACAGTCGTCTGGTAGAGAGGTCGATCAGCCGTTTCRGGTAACCATAGAGACATGATGCCACAAGTAATGGCACACGCACCAAATATGGTCATAGGAAGTATGATGCTTGAACCAGGAAGTTGAGCCTAAAAGAAGAGCAGTTTTCATTAGAGTCGATGMATTAATATTGTGGAATAACAAATAGGACATTTACATGGATATAACTTTACTAGAACTGCATGTTTATAGTAAGTTAYTCATATGAATTTTTTTAATTTTTAATTATTTTTAAATTGGAAAAACAAAAGGTTTAATTAATAATATGTCTTTATTTTTTGGAGAGGGTAAAGAAAGACTGCTTTTCAAACAACATTTTCCATTGTTAGATTGCAGTCTCGTCACCATTTAGTTTGACATTTAACAGAGGTACTTTGTTTGGCGTACAAGTTTTTGATAGACTGCTCTGTTCGTTTTTTTTTTTTTTTTTGGATTTTAAGAAATTGGCTTAGAAGTTTTTTTTATGCATTGCAAGTATTGCACAATATTTTACAAAAAAAAAGTTAGCAAAGCAATCTGGTAGTTGTAGTAATTGAATGAMGCCATAATGCAAATATTACGTTGTTTTGCGCAAATACAAAAACTTCGTAATGGMGTCATATGACATAAACATGACGTCACAGAAATCTTTTGCTACAAACGAAAAAGAGTCGGGGAAAAGGGAAAACAGCTGATTTTTTAACTGATTCGCTACCTAAATGAATCTTCACGATTAACAACAAATAATACTTTACAATACTTAACTTAAAAGTTTTTTGATTGATAGAAACCACCGACGGATTTTCAAGGAAATCATTATCCTTTTGCTTGGGGTCAGGCGGGAAAAGCGCAGGGATAAAGGTTCTGGGAACGAGGTTGCAAAGACCGTTCTTATAACTGTAAGAMGAAATTCTAGTTTCTTTATTATAAKATTGTGAGGTAAACMAGTYAGCTCATTCCCATGCCTGACATACGTACCAGTAAGAGTAAGAACGGTGCTGATATTCCTCCAATACGAGCAGCCGTTGAACCCACTCCCTGTGCTGTGTTCCTGTATAAGACAGTATAAATATTAGGCAGGGGATTATTCAGTAGTTAATTAGTTAGGGCACCTTGGGACTCGAGTGGTCTCTTTCAACGGAACGCATATGTGGGTGCTGTGTGTGAAGCTTTGGTGCAAGATCCAAAATGGTGTGCATTGAAGGATTTCTCTGGGTTTCGTGGAAGGATCTTAGCGTTTATCCCCACTGATAATTACCTAATCAATAAATCTGAGTTTAAACAAGCGAATCTGGTTGGACAAGATTACAAATGTAATCATATACACAAATTAAGTGGATGAAAGTGCAAAATGAATAATGTGACAACATTTGTGAATTAATAAATGGACACGATGAGAGAGAGAGAGCGGGAAAAGGGAGAGGCAGAGAGAGGCAGAGAGAGCTCAAGAAAGGCATACAAATACTCTCGAAGTTCCAATTTCGTTCATAGTATTTATTGGGTAGATCTAAGGTAGAAATATTACCTTAAAACAGTTGGGAAAAGCTCAGAGCTTATTAAGTACACACTGCTCCATTCATGATTAGTAATGAYAAACCCAATTACTGCCAAGCAGGTGACGGCCAGCTCATACTCTGAAAAGGACAGACAATAGCAAAGACTGATTTCGATTGATCGCGATCTATTCACTAATTGATATATTGGTTCAAATCAAGCGCGTGATTCAAAACCGCACAACCGCATAGAGGGAGTACGATTTGTAATCACAAGTTTGATTTCGAACCAAAATTGCACAACACGAAGTTCGATTACCACTTAATTATATTCATTTTGAAATACTTGCTTCTCAAAGAAGTGTGATTAAGAGTTCAAAATGGTGCGATTTAGACTGAAATCAACCTGCTAAGAACCAATCAGATTGCAAACTTCACTTGTGATTTCAAAATGGATTTAATTAATTGATTAATAAGTGACTGAAACACCATCCAATAGATCAATTGCTTGCTTGCTTGCTTGCTTGCTTGAGAGTGTACAAGCAGGTTTACCTTTAGGTATAACTAAAATCAGCAGCAACACCACACCAGTAGAAATCATAAAACAACAATGGGTGAGTCGACGTCCCAATCTAGAAGAATGGTGCTACAATTTTAGAAAAATAGACATCGAGCAATATAGTGTTTTATTGGCTGATATCCATGCAGTACACACAAACCTGTTCATTGAGAACCAAGTAGGAAAGATAAAGATGCCTGAGATTGTTGCTTGAACTACTGCAATGACGTACACATTGCCAGGTAACAACGACGTGTAGATCAAGATTGCAAAATTAATTAATGATGTTGTAAACCTMGAATAAGAAAAGACTTAAATTAACATATAAATCAATTCAATGTAAAAGAGTRCGATTGTGCTGTACAATTACCCAGATTCTCAATGGCCCTAGAATGGCATAATCTGAACTTATATAACTTGCAAGAGAGAGGACAGCATCCAAGCTAATCCTGATGAAGGAGAGGGGGTTTAACATCTAACATTTTTTTAAAACTGATCGCAAAAATCAATAAAGCAGTAATCAGTAAGAAGATTTTATAATTTTAAACCGTTTTTTTTTTTCAAAACCTTTTCAAAATCTTCTAAATCAAATCATTAACTCGCTCCAATTCCAATCAAATTSTGAGAGGCGGTATGTTTTAACTATTGAAAAAATAGTTACGTTCAAGCACAGGTAGCCCAAGCTAGGCATTTGTGAACTTTTTAGAAATATTTAAAATRTAATAAAAATARACATCTCTACCTGTTTGTTGTGTYTTTCATTACATTTCTRTGAAGTTTCAGSCCATTTCCTTCAATTTTGAGCGATTTATGGCTGTTGTTYTCYAGCGTCCTAAGAAGAGGGGAAGRTAGCACAGTAACTGAGCTCAGTGCCCCAGAGGCCGTCAGAAATTCGAAAGACGTCACTACCATTGTACAAAACTGACCAATGGCGAACCATTTTTGTCACATGCTGGGAGGGGAGGGTTAGTAGGGTTTGGAAAAAATCCGTTGTGACCCTTGTCCATCACAAGCCTCGGATTTCGCCGATGTCGTTGAGATACAAAGGGTTTTCCTAGTGAAAGCGTTCGACTTTTGAAAAGAACTTTGGTTTGTGGAAGGAGTGATTATGGGGCAAAGATAATTTGAAGGAATTTTGGAATAATTCGTAATTTTGARTGAGCTAGAAGCGAATTTCTGACGGTCTCTGGGGCACTGAGCTCAGTTACTGTGCTACCTTCCCCTCTTCTTAGGACGCTGGAGAACAACAGCCATAAATCGCTCAAAATTGAAGGAAATGGCCTGAAACTGCACAGAAATGTAATAAAAAACACAACAAACAGGTAGAGATGCTTATTTTTATTACATTTTAAATATTTCTAAAAAGTTCACAAATGCCTAGCTTGGGCTACCTGTGGTTCAAGGGGTTAGTCCATCACATAGCGTTTCAGAAAACAATAAACCATAAATACAGTTACCGCCAAGAGTACTAGTGCATTTTTATGCCGAGACCCGGATCCAGTCACAATATGTCGGTTTAGATTCCCAACTTGAGCGAATATATAATCACATTTTGTGCTCTTAGTCAGAGACGTGAACTATGTTTCACATTTGCAATGAAGTGATGTAAAAGAACCAACACCACTATTCAACTAAGAGAATGTCTAGGAGTTCCCGATGGTGTAGCAAACTTTGGTCGTGTTAACTGTCCCTCCTGTTCATTTGAGCAAGGTAGATATTTTCTAAGCTTCCCTCGTAAGAATTCAGTTAAATCACGGTTATGCACTTTTCTATAGTTCTGCGATAGGTCAAATCTTTCTGCTATGAAAGGGAGAGCATGATTTTCAATTTTGAGGGGAGAGGGGCTTACGTCAACTCAACCAGCTTCTTCCCGATATTTATTGCATAGTCTCTTTCTCTAAGCAAACACGTAGTCAGTGAAATTGATCTGCCACTTCAAGTAGCTGAAAAAATAAAGGTTTTAGTATACTCTTACCACCCAAAACAAGTAATGAGAGTCCATTTTCTYAGCTTTGGTGTACGAACAAGATCTAATGGTGTATATCTCTTTACATTCGAACTTCGTTGAATTTGATCCTCGTGAATGGACTTTAGCATGGTCATCACCTGTTCAGGATCACAGGGTTTGTTGTCTTTTCCACCGTACTTCATGATGACCTTGTGGGCTTGTTTTAGTTTGCCTTTAACAACAAGCCAACGAGGGGACTCTGGAAAAACCCTGAAACCCACAGAAATAATGTAAACGACTTTACTTCCAATAGAACAACCCATTGTCTTTATTGTCTGTCTTGCGCATGCGTAACTTGCGGTACTGATCAACGACGTCTAACTTAACGTTCGTGGTGATCTTGCATGCTAATTTATAGACCTACTGTCCATGTCATTGTCTCAAAATACGATTTGCACTGCTCTTTTGGTCGACTAAAGCGATTCGAACAATCATATATTGAATACCAATTCCTAGTGTTGAAAAGATAAAAGTAACTTTTAGCGAGATTCTTTTAGGGGCTATAAAAACAGCGAGGACTGCAAATTCCATCATGTTGTACAAAATGGCGTCGCTGCACATGCATTGCCTATTTGAAAACCAGTTTTACCTGAAAAAGAAGTAAAGCAAGAATGGAGGAAGACTTGTAACCCATGACAGAGTCCTCCAGTCTCTTATAAAGTACGCTATCAAAGTCTGTAGATAGGAAGCTGTCAACCAAAAGAATCCATTAACATTACCCATCCTAGCTCGATAGCTKGGTCCAATGACCTCCATCATTAGAATAAAATGAGCGAGAGTAGCGCTTATCTTGAAAGTTCCAACACCAAATCGAAGCATGGCAAACAAGGGTATATTTGAAGACACGARGGATTGCATCACACCACAGGAAGCCTACAGAAATAATACAGAATTGACTGTAAAKGCTCAATTTCTGATTCTGGTGGTAGTATGGGTCGTTACAGAGTGTAGAATCCCTTTTTATTTTGACAATCATGAAGTCGATTAGCAAGAATAGCTGAATGGTATTTAAGTGGTATTAATCAATTGTTACTCTGTGAAAAAATCGCTCTGCAAAAATCCCAAGTGTAAACGAGCCTTGAGATTGAAGTCTGTTTACACATCAAAATCGCGGCATAAACCGCAGCTATGTCGCACGACAAAATTGCTACTTTATATAGGCCTTAAAGGATAAGGGATAATGCTAACGATAAATAAAAAAAGGACGAAGAGCTATTTCCAGGTGCATTAATGGGCAACAACAAACTGATATTAAACTGAGCAATAAGTGGTAGACACGCCCCGTCATTTATAATCTTTARATTAATTTACTAGTGATAATAGATGAGCAGGTTTAAATGAATTAAAGTTATGGCATAGTTACCATGACTCCAATTGAGCCAAAGATGATTAGCTTTCTTCCAAACATGTCAGACAAAATTCCTGAGACGAACGATCCAACCAGCATACCAACAAAGAACATCGCTTGTATAATGGCAGCCAAATATGAACGATCACATATCAGACTCCACTGAAAGAGAATATATAAACATTGCCATTTGATACCAACCTCGCGGGAAGGATCTGTCTTTCGACTCGCATATATTGATGTAGACATACAAGGTCACTGATGTACATAGAGAAGGCCGATCATGTGCATATTAAAAAAACGAGTAGGAGTGTTTTATCCGTAATATAAAGCACTGACTTTTTATTAATCAGTTCTATATCAGTATAAAGTTTAAGTTTAAGATGTTTACGTTCATCAGCGCTTTATCGCAACCCAACACTAGCAAAGGTCTAACTTTTAATGTCGCGTCATAGACCTTTGCTAGGTTTTAAATCAATTTGTATCAATGTGCAGGAGGAGCCAACGGTGTCTGTTCTTCTAAATAACTGTTCTTGTACGAATTTTTTCCTGGGAAAGGGATTTTGAGCTAAATTGATGACAATCTCACAACCAAATGTGGCGCCCTTCCTTCTTTAAAATAATTTTGTTCCTGGAAAACGTTTTTAAGGTCAAAAYAAGCTTACATAATGTTTTTATGGTTAAAACAGAGGCTGTATTTTTTAATTAGGAAATTTTTATTTTTCCTGGCAAAAATTCTTAGAAAGTATTCCTTGCCTGGAAAGTTTTTTCCCTGAATTTCTCGCTGGCACTGGCTGGGGCATAAGAATAGATATATTTCTACCAGGAACACGTCGGCTCCTCCAAAATGTGGAAACATGAAGTCTAGCATAGACTATTCTTTTGTCCATGTGGGATCAAAATTCTTTGAATGGTGGCATAATGCACATGCTCATCAGAAGTTTAATGTGCATTATCATTGTTTTCCTATTTTTTAGCTGCAATAATCAGCCCACATGAATTAYTAATCAGCCCCGCACTCCCCTGAAAAAAATCAAAGGCGCCCTCGACTTTTAGTTTGATTAACCTATATCGTGAATTAAATGATTTGCCACGTGTTTGATTGGAACTATACGATTGTTTACTGACCTCATTAAATATTCATGAGTTTTTTAACTGAAAATAAGTTTTGAGCGGCGAGCGTGAAGATTCGAGCCCGTCCCTACATTTTGCTTAGCTATATATTCCCCTAAAAATATCTATTAGGTCATGAGGTCAGTTCGCTTACGTGAACCTGGAACAGTTTGAGGTATTTAACTAACGGCATTTATGAATAGCCCTACCCTAACCCTAGAGGTCACAGGGGGCTATGACATTCAACCACCAATACTGATCAGTAAAACACTGAAATTATTTTTGTGTTGAAATTATTTTTGTGTTGTCACTTAATTTTTGCGCTTCAAAAATTTCGCTTGACTTTATTTTCGCAAAATTTTTCAAATCGCGAAATTCGGACACTTTGAATCAAAATCCAAATGCGGCGAATGGAAATGGATTCTAAGGGATGTTCGACGTGTTTTCCTTCTCAACGGCGGATTCAATGGGATGTTCTTTTGATGAAATATTCTTGACCTATTTGTATATATTTGTTTTAAAATAACATATTTTCAGTGGGCGCAGAATCTATATGATATGCTGTCCCCTCACTGGAGGAGCCGACGGATCTGTTCTTCTAAATAACTGTTCTTGTAAGAATTTTTTCCTGGGAAAGGGATTTTGAGCTACATTGTTGTCAATCTCAAAGAAAGATGTGTCGCCCTTCCTTCTTTAAAATAATTTTGTTCCTGGCAAACGTTTTTATGGACAAAAACGGATTATATCTTTTTTAAGTTAGGAAATTTTATTTTCCTGGCAAAAATTCTTAGARAGTGCTCCTTGTGCATGGAGATTTTTTTTCCGGAATTTCTCGCTGGCAACCAGTTGTGACTTACAGCTGGCAGGGTCATAAAGTCAGATATACATCTCTCCCAGGAACCCGTCGGCTCCTCCTATCCTCACCCCTCATTCCCTCTCAATATTACTGGAACCGCCCCTGTTCTGAAACCTCCTTTAAATTCAGTCATGATGGCTACCGTAATCTCCTTTTACAYTACAGAACTTACCTCAGAGACGACGGTAGTGAACAAAGGATCGAATTCATAAGATGTACAGTTTGTACAACATTTATTGATACCTCCACACGACACATTAGGAGTTGAACACTGAAACTTTGGAGTTCCTGTAACAAAGACAAGATGACCAAACTGCAGTCCCTGTCCAATAAGCATTAAGCATGTCCCATATGCAACCTTCTTCTGGTAGCTACCAAACGATTTGACATTGTGAAAGATGTCATCGTACTCGGTAAACGCTTTGACCATGATAGCCTAAACAGAAGGAAACAAAGTCAGAAAACGTTTCGTAGTCATTTCTAAGAAAATATCCTCATGTCTAGAATGCATGAACCGAAATGAATTTTCGTTATATTTCACAAATTCTTCTGTATACAAAGCTTTATATATTGTCTCAATTCTCTCCTTATTTGAATACGACTTTATTTAACTTGTTTTCAATTCTCTTTTAAGAGAATCTGAGTTAAAAAAAAACGATAAAACATATAGAACTTATTGCCATACATCGGGTGACATTTGCTTGGATTATTGTCCAGGCTCACTCATGCATCCATGCATGCATG